AATAACTTCAACATCGTTAACTCTGGAATAAAACTCTACAACCCCAACAAGCATCAACACAGTGTTTGCCAGTTCAACAACAACTAAGAAATGAACAACAACAAACTGCCTGTTGAAGAAATGAAGCATTAGAAACTATTGTAATATGATTTAACAATGTATTACAACTCACACACGTGTTGACCGTATGCTTGCAAGCATTAACAACAACAACAACAACAAAACAGTGCCACGACCACAACAACACCTACTACTACTACTACAACTACTACTACAACAACAACAACAACAACTACTACTACTACTACTACTACTACAATTTACAAATACAACAACTACTACTACCACATTACTTAAAAACAACATTAACAACAGCAAATACAGCTATAGAATATCAACATACCTAATCTCAGAAAATAACATAAACATTTAGTAAAAAAAATCAATTTCATTTGAAAGAACATCATTAAACAACTAAAACAACAACAACAACAATTAAATAAAAACGACAACCCTTATAAACATGTTGCGAATAAGTGTCATAACAAAGATATTAACAACAACAACAACATCAAAAACATCAACAACATTACAAACATGGTTGATCAGGTTGTTGTTGTTGTCTCATCTCTTCAAATACGCAAGTTAGTGTCTTTGTTGTTGTTGATGTTATGCTGTTGTTGTTTTAGGAGTGCTGTTGCTGTTGTTGTTGTTGTTATTGTAGGAATGTTGTTGTAGTAGTTGTTGTTGTTTTGTTGCCGGGGTTGGTGTTATGTATCTTCTGTTTTTGTTGTCGTCGCAATCTTGGGTTATTGTTGGTTAGTTGTTGTGTTATGTCTTTGTTGTTGTGTAATGTTTGCAATTGCCAGAAATGTTTTATTTCATTTCATACTTTCACCTGTATTGGAATTTATAGAATGGAAGTTGAATTGCTTATGACCGCATTGTTATTACAATGCTAAAATGGGTTTTTCCCCCTTATCAAGGTGTTCCATTCTTTTCCATCCAGATGTGATCTTTTTCAACGTGTTTCATTTTTTTCATTCCAATCAAACAAATAGACAAATCGAAACAAAAATTTTTAAATCAGTATAAATATTATTTACATTTATAATTATTGTTATTATTGTTGTTATTATTATTGTTATTATTATTATTCAGTCAGTTGTATACAAATGTCAAATTGTGTGTGAGATGATCTTGTTGCCTCTGTATATCGGAATGTCTCAAAAACACACAAACAACAAAATTATAAAATAACAACAATAACAACAACAACAACAGTAATTATAAATACCAATAATAAAAATATCATTAATAATAACAATAATAATGAATTCAAAGACGACGACGATGATGATGATGATGTTAGTGACAAGATGATGAAGACGACGATGATGATGTTAGCGCGGACACCACAAATGTTTGTTTTTCCAGTCTTCTGAATGCTCGCTGAAGTGCCTGTAATTGTAAAATTAATTCTCACTCTCTCTTTTTTAAAGGGTTCATCTTATTTGGTTGGCTGTGTTTCTCTGCATGTGTGCCTCTATGTCTGTCTGTGTATTGTATCTACACGTGTGTATGTATTAGCGCCTGTATGTCTGTCTGTATATTGTATGTATCTACGCGTATGTCTGTCTGTGTATTTTATGTATCTACGTGTATTTATGTGTGTCTGTAGGTAATGTCTGAGTCGTTGTATTTGTATTTACGTTTATGCAATGTGTCTTTATATGTATGCATTCACATTAGGTTGATGAATTTTTTTAATTGGTTTATAAACATTTAAAATGGAACGAAATGCTGTATTTAAGAGTTGTTTGAACAACATCACAGAGCCGATGAATTGAAAAGACATTTTTGCCAGTCTACAAATGTTTTGAATTCATTGAAAATAAAGATATAACTAAAGAACAAATTTTAGATTTGCATAGATAAAAGGTATTTAGTTTTTCAAACACAAGATAGCAATAAATATCTATACTTTCGTCATTGCAGAGGATGAATCTCAAAGCAAGGTTGTTCTTACAGCGTCTGGTTTCGTGTAGGATTCATGTGCAATTAAGCGCGTTCTTCACAAGACAGTTAGCTTTTGGCAAGTTTCTTCAGAGATTCCTTTGTTTTCTAAAAGTTTCTCCAATAGCTGTAGTGGTGTCTTTTAGAACTGGACATTTTTTGGAGATTTTCAAGGCGAAAAAACTTACTTCTATGAATTTGAAATTAAAGAACAAACTTTGGCAGTGTGTTTTGTGTTTTTGGCATAAAAGTAAATGAAAAAACCAAAAAGGCACAAAAATTTTTATTGTAAATTTGAAAACACTGAATTCACTTTCTTTTATATTCTTCTTTGAGAAGCACAGCCTGATATTCAAATGCTAAGTTGAAAAATCTAAACCTTAGGTGGAAAAATAATCCATACATGTTTTCCACTGGAAGAGCTTCTGTGTATGACGCTTTAGATTGCCGACTGGTTTGATGTCGGAATGTCAAGACATATTTGACGTCAAACATCTGCTGTCCTATAAGAGGACAGATTTGAGTGGGTCACAAGGACATCTTACGCATCTGTCGTGTTCGTGATATACTTCATTCACGCAGACGCAACGGCACTTTAATAATCACGAGTTAGCAAGTTCTTGCACGGTCACTTGAGTTACTTTTCATTGTTTGCTTGGAGGGTTGGATGGAATTTTCGTAATCAGGTTTTCCAGAAAAATACACAACGTGACGAAGGTGAAGGTTATAAAATCATCATCATTTGAAAAAAAAAATTAAAAATGTTGCCAAATTGTTATAAACTTAATAAAAAATCATAACACACAATAAAATTAAATAAAATTTTAGTAAATAAAATTCAAACAGTGTCAAATTAATTTATTGAAACGGTTATTTAAATAGAGATAAAAATTAGAACATTATTATTATTGTAGTTAATCTTTACCTACTAAATATTCCATTCATAATAATCCATTAAAATTTCAAAGCACAACAAAATAACATTAAGTATCGGCACAAACTGATAAGTCGTTATCACCCAGTCGAGAATATGCAAAAATCTATATTGTCCGAATCTTCATTGTCGTTATTTTCAGCAAATATCTCAAATTCATTACTATAATCAAATCTATCAGAGTTACTAGCATAACCATCATCATCAATAATTTCGTCACCAGAATCGTGAATCCATTCCATTCGGAAATGATGTTGATGATGGTTTGAAATTTGTTGTGCCACTTCAAGCAGATCTGCTGGATCTGGTGAGTGAGAAAATGATGAGATACTTATATAGACGTTTGCAAATACGTGGTCGTTAATTTTTTAAAAAAATAATAAAATTAAAAACCTCATTTTACTGCAAAAAAATTAATTTTTACAATTCTTCAAATATTATAAAGCGTGCAGTTTTAAATTTGAGTGTAAGGCAATATAAAAACGTTTTTGGTTCTTGAAGTAGTACTAAAAACCAGTGTCGGAGTCAACTGGAGTCGCAGATTTTGGCCACAATCGGATTTTTTCCTTTGAGTAAGACATGTTATTGATTTTTTTAAATTATTTTTTTCCTAAATCGTTTTCAAGATGGTGTTTTTTAGAAAATAAAAGTGCGTAGCAATAGGCAATCAATTATCTTTAACACAAAAAATAAAATTTCGCAATGGCTTGTTAGCAAAAACTATAAAATGAAAAATTGATGATGCCGTTTGCAAACACGTGGTTCTCAACATCACATATACGAATATTTGAAATTAAGTTTCTTTGTTTTACTGCAAAGAAAATTAACTTTTCCGATTCGATAAAATAAATTATGAAGCGCTTAATTTTTAAATTGATTGTGGAGTCCAACTTTATTTTAATTGAAAAAGTATCTATACAAAATTTCAATACCGAATGTTTCAAAGTTTTTATGTTTTCGCAGACCAAATAAGAAAACAAAAAGCAAACAAAAAGCAAACGAACATTATTCACGTGTGAATAATTATATATTGATTACATTTTCATCCATTGTTAATGACTAAAAAATTCACCTAATCATAAAAGTTATCGCTACTTTCGACGTCAACACGAAAATGTTCATCATGTTCCTCCTAATTAGCATCATCGTCACCAATACCATCACCGTCATCATCATCCATCTTCATCATTATCGCCCTCAACATCTTCAACATCGTTGACATCGTCACGTTTGGTAGGTAATTATGTTCATATATAATTTAAGATTAAAAAAAACATCGTTAAAATTGTTGTGCCTGCTCATTCATCAATTTCGTCACCAAAATCATCCTCATTGGTCTATTCCTCTTCATTGTGCTTCATTAATCTTACATGATTCAAGATTAATAAAACATCGTCTTATATGTTAAAATTGTTATGCCTGCTTGTCTATGTATTATACTTGTATTATACTATGTATTGTCTATGTATGATACTTCGGCCCATTTGCATGCTAGTGACGTTTTTAATGTTGGCATCTTAAAGTAAAATCAAACCTCGATATGAATTATCAATTGAAATGAAACTTGCATACGGTACTTTGGATTCTACTCTCCGTGTGTTAATTCATTTTAAAATAGTTTTTTTTGCATATTGCTATTATGATTTTGTTGAAAGATTATTTGTGTTGTTCAATGATTGACCGATCCAGTCAACGAATGAAGATTTTTATGTTTTCAATTTGAAGTGATTTGTCTCTTAACAAATTTTTGTGATGTTTTTCCAACTTTTTTCTTTGTATGAAAATGTTAACAAAAAATTCAATATTAGTCATTTAATGAAGTTTTTTCCTTGTTGATTTTTGTTTTATTTTTATTAAATTTTTATTTCGAATCAAGTTTCCAGCATATCAACCCAAAAATTTGGAAACTAAGATGATTTTATTCATAATCCTCTTGGTCCCACTAAATAGACAAATAATAAAAGTATAATAAAATTAATATTTCGAGATAAAAAATAATAAATATTATTATTCTTATTAATGTTATAATAATAACACACCAGTATATATTTTATATAAAACATCCAAACAGCAGAATTATGTTCACAAATGGCACAAATTGAAATATTGTGATCGCGTTCTCCAGCATATTCGCCAGTAAAATTTGGAAACAAAAATCATCATAAATGTCGTCATCATCTTCATCGTAATAAAAGCCGTTGTAATCATATTCATCAATTTCGTCACCAAAACCATCTTCATCGTTATCGTAATAAAAGCCGTCATAATCATCATCATCAACTTCATCACCAAAATCATTTTCATCATTCCATTCCTCTTCATTGTGCTCTATTACATCCAGCTCATCTGACTCATCAAATTCGTTATCGTAATAAAAACCGTCGTAATCATCATCATCAACTTCGTCACCAAAATCATCTTCATCGTTATCGTAATAAAAACCGTCGTAATCATCATCATCATCAACTTCGTCACCAAAATCATCTTCATCAATCCATTCCTCTTCATTGTGCTCTATCACATCCAGCTCATCTGTCTCGTCCTCTTCAAGGAGCTCCTCATTCAATTGATTTGGAAGCACGTTCATTTCTTTCAGACTTTCCTTTATGAAATCTTCACGGTTGATGCCGACGTTCTCACCTTTTGAAAAGGATTCTAGTAACTTTTCGTTCAACAGATATCTCAAAAATGCTTTGATTAACAGATGCATGAGACATTTGCCATCCAAATTGTCCTGCAAGTTAATGACGCAGTAATATTTTTCCAGATTATTTTCCGTCAACTTGAACTCCATTTTTATGTTACCTTCACAAATTTCTACATCCAAGAAACCAGGCTGGAGGTTTCCGCGTGCAACCTGGTAGATGGTTCTGCAGTACGGGCAAATTATTTTACGGTTCGATTTCCTGTAGAGAGTCTTGAGACAGGGCAGATGGAATTGGTGCTTGCACCAATTCAGGTAGACAACATCAGCACAAGCGAGAAGTTCTTCACTACACAAGCAACACTCTTCCTCTTTTATATCTGCAACTTTTCCTACCAAAAATATAATATCCATTCGAAGAAGGCTCTGAAAGTTGAACATAAATTCCTCTGGCACTGGTATTTTGAAACTTTTTTTGCTTGAAATATTTTTACCATCTGCTGCTGATTCACCGGTTTCCATATTTGAAATGTTTCCACTTTTCGACTGATCGTGTTTAGAAAATAATTCTGTTTCTTCGGAACAGCAAAGTCGATGGCCAATCTTCTGGTTGATGTTAATGAATCACGCCTTGCTTATATACCAACTTGCACTTGCTTTAGTTCTACGAAAAAGCTTTGTATTTTATTATAAATGAAGTACTAATCGAAGGACATTGCTTGTTAATGGAGTACTAAGTATGCTAATTTATATTTACAATCACTTCAGTACCAATTCATTAAGCAGCTAAATATTATTTTAAATCTTTGTTCCTGGCATTTGAACCTTTTGATTGTACGTCTTCTTAGACGCTCTTAATAATTCATGATGAAAATAAAATACGGAGTTAGTTTTAAAATAATTTTTCAAAAAACAAAGTCACACAGAAGCAGTCATAAAGTCACACACACAAAACTCACACGCACACATTCACAAACACAAAACTCACACGCACACATTCACACACATATACCCACACACACACACCACACACACACACACACACATTATCAAACTATTGTGCAGAACTTGATGAACAGCCAGCAACATGCAAACGAGCCTTAATTAACATTCTTAATACAAGATTCTTTTTTCTACATTCTTTCATCATCTCACTCATAAACAATCTTTTTTTTATTTCTCCATTTAAAACTAACAACAGTTTATTTAGTTTATGGAAACTTGTTCACAGTGTTTCTCATGTTTATCCATTTTTTTTGTTATATTCTTCTTAATGCAGTTCTGTCAAGCGCCGACCAGATTACATGTATAAGTTTAGTTTTGAAGACCTAATTTATTTATCTCAAATAAAAATTTCAAATAAATGAATAAATAACATAATAATAAATAAAATCAATTAAAATCAACATGACATATTACAAAAATAATAAATAAATGAATAACCAACCTAAAATAGAGAAATTAAATTCCAAGTACAAATAACAAGCTATTAACACACAATAATAAAACTGACCACGTGTTAAGGATCGTAAAAGTCACGCCACGCTAAAAGCAAAGAAAAGAAATTTAGGAAATATTGTAACAGATAATTATATAAAATATAATTTACACATGTTATTCTCTACTTCCAATTGAACCCCCATCTATACCACACGACGCATATTCACATTCGCGTATGATGGTCTTTGCAATCGCCAAATAGCAGCAAGAGATATGGCACTTCTGCCGACTGAGCTGACTCGGTGACCAGGTGTTGGAAAATTCATATTTGGAGTCTGTCATTTAATTTGAAAAACATGGAAAGTATTTTTTTTTTTTGGTTAGGTTTGTTTCAGTAAATTTATTTCAATTATTTTCTGTTCGTCATATCAAAAACATCTTAAACATGTCAGAAGAAGACTTGTCGGAGTTTAGTAGGGCCGGATTAACCTACAGACAAGCAGGTCGCGAAAGCTCTTCCCCCCAGCCCGTGTTTTCCAATCCGAAGATCTATATTCATGAAGAGGCGAGTCGCGGCCAGAAGCGAGACTGCCTAGGCCGGCGAGCAAGGTAGGGTTTCAGCAACGAGGCAAAAATTCACACTTTTAATGCAAAAATTATATCTAACTAATAACTGTAATTAACATTTTTATTGGACACAATCATTCCTACTTAAACTAACAACATGTTCTGCTTATCGGCATACCGGCAAACATACGTTATACATACACACACACACACAAACACCACACACACACATACAAACATACATACGTACAAACATACATACGTACAAACATACATACGTACGTACATACATACGTACATACGCAAAGATATCTTGAAAGATTGAAGGCATACGTCCCAAAGTGAACAATTTAATTATTCTTACAACCCTCTACGAAAAATTAATTCTTGAAAAATTCAAAAGATTGGCCTTCGTAGATCTTTCTTCTTGTCCTGTACATCCCACACTCACACAGACACACACACACGCATACACCACACATTCACATACACCACACATTCACATACACCACACATTCACATACACCACACATTCACATACACCACACATTCACATACACCACACATTCACATACACCACACATTCACATAAACATGCGCAAACATTATTGGCAAACTTATATTGACAAAACGAATGAAACAATAAATATATTTACAAATTAAAATGCAGTTGAATTTAAATGAAGAATTGAAAATTGTTCATCAAATATAATTACAGTGGAATAATTCAAATTTTTTAAAAACAAGTTCAATTGTTTGTTTGTTCATTTGTATATTGTTTTTTGATTGTTTGTTTGTTTGTTGCATGTTTGTTTGTTTGTTTGTATATTGTTTTTTTGTTTGTTTGTTTGTTTCATGTGACATGTAGTTTCTTGTTCACCCACTCATTTTCGTACAAGTGTGAATTAATATTTTTTTAAATAATCAATCGTATTTCTTATAAAGAAACGTTCGCAAATTACCATTTCAACTTTACTATAATCTATACCTGATGGAAGGGAACTGAAATTTAAAAAGTCTTAACAAAGGAAGCCAAAGAAAAACCAAAAAACTTAATTGATTTTAAACTAAATTACCTACAAAGACAAACGTGAATATGAACGCAAACTTTTTATCAAAACCAAAAGAAAAGCCAAATAGACGAAAGAAAATAGAAAAATCATCGACTGACATTGAAATCTGAACTGAAACTAACCACAACTCAACTCAGAAATCACATCTACCTGCCTCACGTTCCAATAATGCGAAGTTTGTTCTCAAATGAAATGAAGTAAAAGCGTGACGTCCTCCTCGTGTTTAATGGATTGCAAATGCAGTTGCACTTTTGTTTAGAAGGGACCGAATGAACTTGAATTAAAAGTTGAAAGAATAATCAATACCACTATAATTTTTTTAATTATCATCACTGTCATAAGGTTTCAAACATGCACTCATATTATCGTTATCATCATCACAAAATAGTCATCAGAATAATTTCAGTCTGTCTGATGAATTATTTTTTAAAATCATTAATGCCGTACGTTGTCCATGGATGTCTCGATGTAACTAAACTCGATATATCTAATCTCTATGTATCTAATTTCGATGTATCTTATCTCGATGTATTTTATCTCGATGTATCTTATCTATGTATCTATGTTAAGACATTTATCCATTGTCACCTCCTTGTCTCAACTTTGCCGAATTGAATTGATACATTTAGCTCTCTTTCCAGCTCCATTGTTACCAAAACACCATCTTTAAGATTTTCTTCGTTGCATATGTTATAATACTTTTACTTTTAATGTTTTAGTAGAGATGGAAATTACTAATAATTTTATTTAATCATATTTTACGTAAAAATAATGTATGCTGATTATTATATCTATTAAGTATGCTGAGACAGACAGAAATTTAAGTGAATCGGTTGGTTCAGCAGTTTCCGAGACTATGAAGATCAGAAAAACAAACAAATCAGCGGCAAAGCAGCATCTCATATCATCCAATGTTAATGAATTGAAGTAACTCTTCTAGTCGTACCTTCGTTATTGTAGTCTCAGACGTCTTCATGGTCATCATAATTTTCATCATCCACATCCTTACTCACTCAGGATTATCATCATCGTCGTCGTCATCATCATCGTCATCATCATCATTAATTGCATCATCAACAACAACAACATCATTATTTTCGTTATCATCATCATCATCGCCGTGATCGTCATACTTTTCTGAAACATAATCATTAAAATAGCTGCCATCATCATCATCATCTTCTTCTTCTTCATCATCATCATCATCTTCACCATTAACATCATCATCATCACCATCAACATCATCATCATCATCATCTCCATCATCATCATCATTAACATCATCATCATCATCTTCATCTTCATCATCATTAACATCATCATCATCATCTTCATCTTCATCATCATTAACATCATCTTCATCAATTTCATCATCATCATCATCATCATCATCATCATCATCATCATCATTAACATCATCATCATCATCATCATCATCATCATCATTAACATCATCTTCATCATCATCATCATCATCATTAACATCGTCACATTATTTTTTTAATTACATTCTCACACAGTGTTAAATTAGATAACGTCGTCGCTGAACACACGCACGCAC